TGTTTTAATCAGCTTTTTCACTGCTGTGACCAAAAGACCTGACAAGAAAAATTAGAGGAGAAAAAGTTTATTTTGGGGCTCACAGTTTCAGCGGTCTCAGACCATAGATAGCGGGCTCCATTCCTTGGGGCCTGAAGTGAGACAGAACATAAAGGCTGAATAGTGTGGCAGAAGAAAGCAGGTCAGCCAGGAGGACATGGCCACCAAGAAGCAATAGAGAGACTCCACTCACCAGATATAAAATATATACTCCAACGGCACTCCCCCAGGGACACACCCTCTCCAGCCACACTCTACATTCAGTAGTCACAACTCAATTAATCCCTATCATTTAATTAATTAAGCCAATCATTTCATCTCTAAGCCTCATGCATTGTCTCACACATGAGCTTTTGGGGGTTACCTAATATCTAAACCATAACTAGATTTCTTACAACTTGGGTAAAAAACTTGGGTCTGAATTTTTCTACAGGCTTTCTCCATTGCTAATAAGTCCCCAAACTCCAGGATGCTGGTTAAAATAATCCTATTTCCCAAGCCTGGGACTTTATTTGGTGAGTCTCTAGAGCTGGTCAAATTAGGAACAGTTGCTGTGAGGGGTATCGAAGAAAAAAGAAGTTGAGTGTTTTACAAGTATGGGGCAACTCATAGGATTTGAACATACACACAAAGATTTCAAAAGAAATCTTGCAACAGGGTTTGTCTTATTACACTCAATTTATTTTCTATGCTGAGAGAGAGAGAGAGAGAGAGAGAAAGAGAGAGACAGACAGACACTCTTAAGAGATTTAGCAACCAAACTTGGTGTTTGGACTTTGTTAGGCTCCTAATATAAACAAAAAAACATTTAGGGGAAATTGGGTATTTTTGGACCGTGTATCAAAATTGGACCCGTATTAAAATAATTTGAGCTGGAAGTGGTGGTACCTGCCTATAATCCTAGCAACTTGGGAGGCTGAGGCAGTAGGACCACAAGTTTGAGGCCAGCCTCTGTAATGTAGGGAGGCCCTAAGTAACTTAGTAAGACTCTGTCTCAAAACAAAAAACAAATAGGGATAGAGATATGGCTCAGTGGTAAAGTACCTCTGGGTTCAATCCCTGGTACCAAAATGTAACAAAACCAAAATTATTTGATATATATATATATATATATCTATTTATATATATATATATATATATCTGTATCTGTGTGTGTGTGTGTGTGTATACGTGTATATATTTGGGCAACTCTTTTATACCATGAAATATTTATTTTCAATAATAAATTTTACAGTAAGTTTATAGAACCAAAGCAATTTTATACATGAGATAACCTGAGGCACATATCAGCAAGCATTTACTGAGTAACTATTATGTGTCAGGCAGTATGCTGAATGATTTAGTGCAAAGTCCACCCTCTATGTCAAGTTTTACCCCGAAGAGTGTTTTGGAACCTAAATATCAATATAATTATGTTGATAAAGGAAAATGGGTTAAATGGTATATGGTTAGAAAACAACTTGGTAACCACAGGAAAAGATTTTATCCTCCACAAAAGTAGTATTAGGGGATGTAAATGGAAAGCAGGGGATTCTAGTACTGCAATATTAAACCAAAAACAATCTATTGTTTGAAAATTCTGAAATTTTCTTTCAGAAAAATTTGGGGGCCACTGTTATATCAGGTATAACTACAATTGGTGTGTGGTTAACATAGAATAAACACAAAGTTAGCTGAGTCTTGCAGAGATTGGGATAGGATGATGTCATTTTAATCTTTCCCAGTCCTTACACAGAATGGTTTGAGATGATCTCATGACTTCATGAACAGGAAGAACCAGTCCCTTCAACATAACAGAAAACATTCTGGGGCTTCACGAATATAATCTCATTCAATCCTTGCAAAGCCTTATGAGCCAGGCAGCATTCTCCCCAGTTTCATATGGGGCATAAGACTGAAATAACATTCCCAAGGTCACTGGGAGGGTACAGGAAGTTTGTGGTTCAGGCCTGGGTCTTTTAAGCATCAGTACTTCCCATGACACTGGATTGTCTCTGAAGCAGTCAGACAGCATGGGGACCTCAGCAGTGACAGTGTTTCCACCTGGGCATAACACTTCTATTTTAAAATAAGCTATGCCTGACTACCCAGGAATAGGATTCTTTGTTTCCCAAATGATAAGACAAGTCAGCATTTTCTTTCTTTTTTAGTTACCAATGAATCACTGGGAAGGGATAAAGACAAACCTGGGCCAGTGACTATTAGGCAAGTACTGTTTCCTGGCTGCTTATTATGTGTAGCACTTATTATGGCATTCCATAGACTCTTCACCACCTCAATTATCTTCATTTTATAAATGACAAAACCAAGCAAAGAGAGGGGGCACAGTTTGCTCAAGGTTACAGATCCCCTAAGTGAGCTTGCTCACCCAGGACTGTCCCCATAGCCAGGACTCTTAGCACATAAAGCTTGTATTGTCCAGATTACACAAATAGATTGAGTGAAGGACTAGAAAGGCAACATAAAAAGCAAGGCAAGAGGAAGAAACAGGTGTCGCCACTGCAGATATCTATTACACAATGGGCACATATCAATACATGAAGAAGCTTTTGTGCCCTGGAAAAAGACTAGTTGTGCAAGAAGGCATTTTGCTGTGTAAGAAATTCACCACTGCTTCTTATGAACAAAATGTAGGAACCAGAAACGCTTAGAGTATGGACTCTGAGAAAACCAACCCAAACTCTGATCATAAGTGAACCAGGCAACAAAACTGAATGAAGTAGGTAGGAAATAAGATAGGAAAACTACTGTGACCTTTAGATTAAGGCTCAGCTCATGGCAAACTATATGAAAGTGAAAAGAAAGTCCTAGAAACATACTGGAATAGAACACGTTAATTTATAATGCTCTGCAGACTACAAATCCCATTACGACAGAGGAGGATACATATTTAAAGAGTTTAAAGAAGGTTAAAAGGAGTCACAAGGTTATAGATAATGAGATGCTACATGAAGAAGGTTCTCATAGGATGTTGTCCACTGGTAGGAAGATCTAAGGATAACTGCAACCAATCCCATGAGCCTACGACTATTTTAAGAACATAAGAAAACATCCTTAAGACACCAACAGCTACCAAAATGAGTCTTATAAGACTCATCAATTTAGGTCAACACAAAATGCTGCATAGAATCAGAAATCAATTATTATGAGTCTCTTTTGTAAATTTATCATTAAAATCCATAAGTTCCCAATAAGGAACCAACTGAAAAAAAAAATTTATCATTATATACAGGTTGAGTGTACCTTACTTGAAATGCTTGTGACTAGAAGTCTTTCAGATTTTATATTCTTTCAGTTTTAGAATATTTGCATATGATAATGAGGTATCTTGGAGATGAGATCCATTTCTAATCAAAAAATTCATCTGTTTCATATATACATTATACATATAGCCAGAAGGTAACTCTACCCCGTACTCTTCTTTGTGCACCTGTGTTTTGGCTTTAATTCACTGTATGTGGTCACATGTGGAATTTCTACTTGTGGCATCATGCTAGCACTCAAAAAGTTTTAGATCTTTTTTTGTGTGTGGTGCTAGGCATGTGCTCTTCCACTGAGCTTTACTCCTAGCCCTGGACTTTTGGATTAACCTGTACTTGAGAGAAGTGTTTGTCTACAAGCTCCATGATAACAAAGATGATGTCTCTTCTCTTATGAATACAGTCTCAGAGACTAGCACAGTTCCTGGAACAAAATATTTGTTCAATGTTTCTGAGTGAATAAATGAACAGTCTACTTCTAGACCCAGAGACTATCTCTGCCCAAATCATGTGAATTTGGCATGGTACATCATTGCATTTGAGAACAAAGACACAGAACATTAAGGCAGAGCTTTCTCTTTATATCAGAAAATACTAGTATCTCTAGTTTCTGTGATGTTCTCCCAGTATGAATCATAAATGAAATACGTTTACTTCCACTTATCATACCTTACGAATTTAGGACACTGAGTTACCATTAATAATGGCCTTCATTATGCCTGGAAAAAAAAATCTTTCTTAGGAACTGTAATTTTGAAAATACTACAAATGAAAACAAAGATGCTGAGGTCAAGATCAAATACCTTCCACTAAGCAACTTAGTAAGACCTAAGCAACTTAGTAAGACCCTTTCTCAAAATAAAAAATAAAAAGAACTGGGGATGTGGCTCAATAGTTAAGTGTCCCTGGGATTCTGGGTTCAATCTCTGGTACTCAAAAAAAAAAAAATTAAAGGGGCTCAGTGGCAGAGCACCCCGGTATCAAAACAACCAAAAACAACAACAAAAACCCCACCATACATATAGAGAACTCCTTGCTATAGGCCCAAATAATGACATTTTATGGCATAGTCTGTCAGGTTTTCATGTAGATTAACAGAGCAACTTTTCCACACTCATTTGTGTCATATCTATTAAACTTGGGAAAAGAGTTGAAACCTGAAAAAATGTTTTGATGAGTGGTTAAACTATGGCCTAGAACTATCAGTCACAGAATTTGGTTAAGTTCTGATGTAGGAATCTTACGTTACACTGTAGCTTCAGATAAAACAAACTGCATTTGGACACTTGGAGAAACTCTGTAAAACATCTGTATCTTCACATATTTATTTTGCAGTACTGAGTATTGAACCCAGGGCCTTGTACATGCTAGGCAAGCACTCAACCACGGAGCTATACTTCTAGCCCACGCCTGTACCTTTATTATATGCAAACAACAGTTTATTCTCAAAAAGCAAAGTTTATTTAAGAAATAATGATTTCTGTTTATCAGAATCCTGAGAATGCTTATATTTTCTCTAAATACAAGGTGTAATTAGTTTTTATGAAAAATCAATAAAATTAAATTATTATATAGGACTGTTAATTACGCTTTTGCAGTGAATTTTACTTTTAAATATTAAGGATTAATTATTTCTATTTTACTTATTTACTATACAAAATTTTAATATAAACATTGAAATTCCAGGATCATCACACTTACCTGTACGGCTTGTCAGAGTTATGAATTCGTCTGTGGTTTCTGACACCAACGTATGTTGTACTTGTATAATCGCACACATCACATCTATACTGTTTCTGGGTTGAAGACTTACTCCCTAGACAAGGTATTTCAGAGTTTCAGAGATAGGTTTTAATAAGATTCAAATGACAGCATTTATATTCCGTTGTAAATGAATATTTATACACCAGAGAGTACTATTATTTTAATCAAGGTTTTCTTACTGTTTAACAAGTTTGAAGTGGCTTTATAGATTGTGCTGTACCTAGACTATCAGCAGATATAAACTGATCATCATCTGATCTGTACACATAGATAAGGCTGGTTTCTGCAAAACCTTATAAAAATTCTAAAGTATACTGAACTTGCTTCCAGCTGCCCTGCTGGCTGTATAGCAGTTATATTAATCAGAGATCCACTTTGATCAGAGAGGTGTTAAGTCTAATCAGCATTGGATACAGTATCCTAAGGAAACACTGGTTTGAAAATCAGCTGTAATTTATTATAATCCAATATTATAAACTTTAACCACAAGTCATATATAGCAAACTCAATATAAAAAGCCTAAGCTGGGTGTGGTGGCGCAAGCCTATAATCCCAGCTACTTGAGAGGCTAAGGCAGGAGAGGAATGAAAGTTTGGGGCTAGCCTGGACTATATAAGTTTTCTCACCCTGTGCATTTACAGGTTACAGCTAACTGTCAGCTATCAATTCAACATAAGAAGAAAAGCAACTGCATATTTTGAGGGGCTCTATTAACATAGAATAATTACATTTAGTAAACTGACACTTTACAGGGACAAAGACTATAAATACGCAAGTTCTCTGAAATGCAGGAAATATGGATCCAATGAAAACAGACCATATTACTAACTCATTCTGCAACAATAGGGCTGAGTAATTTAAGTGTGAAAATACAAGTTGAATAACTTGATCAAATGAAATTGTTTCCTGAAGATATCTGATGCTTTATTTATTCACTGTCAGCATAAAATCCACAGGCTATTCCTACTCAGAATGCTTTATATTCAGGAACAAAGCAAGCATTTAAGCTCAAGAATCAGGCAGAGCAGGAAGAGCTATGTGTCCCTTGGCAGGAAGAAAGCTTAGGTAAAACACAAGTAACAGGGTGTAAGAGCAAACTTCGTGGTACAAAAGAAAACCTGCACTGAAATTTTAACAAAAAAAAATCCTTATGTTACATTTAAACTTTTTAAAATTGAAATTTTCTTTGCCTAATAAATACTGCCAGGCAGAACAAAATATCCTAATTTCCTGGTATAAATCTATAACATTAATACATGTACTAATCATAATTATAATCTAAGTATTGCTCTTAATTGGTAGGTTAAAAACTTGGACTTGATTATAAATGGCACTGTTCCAAATATAGTTTAAAAAAAACTTGAAAAAATGAAGTGTGAAATATTGGATAATGGTTTTGTGTGAAAAATATTACAGATCAATGACAACTAATAAAACTGACAGATGGAAAAACTTAATATAGCACAGAATGAGAGCCTGTGCTACTTCAAGCAAATGTTTCCAATGAAAAAGAAGATTGGATTTAAAGTTCAAAAACTTGGGCTTAGTCCTTGCTCTGCCACTTACTACCAGTATGATTATAGGTAAATTATTTCACCTCTTGAGGTCTCAAGTTTTCTTATCTACAAAACAGAAATACTAGAATCTCATGCATGGTTTAGTAAGTCATGTATTTTTCCTTCACCAAAGTATGTACATTTACTTGCTTCTCTGGGTAGTATCTGCCTTGTTACTGAGCTGTAGATTCTTTGAGGGTAAGGATCTACCTGTTTGGTTTGCACTGAATACCCATGGATTGGCAAATTGTGGGTTTCTGAGAAAGGTCAATTTAACTGAATTTCAAGAATAAACACCATGCCAAAGTGCTTTGCTTCACAGGGCCACTGATGGATTTTGAAGATATACCCATCAGTCCACTTCTGACTTCTTCACTGGGCTGGATTCCTCAAGGGCAAAGATGCCCGTCATTGTATATCCAGCACCTGGCACTACTCTTGAGGGGCATGCCATGCCTTCTGGATGAAGGAATGCCTGAAGTACAATTACACTGGACCTATGTGTTGAAAGTTATGTCCAGAGGTATCGGTGGTATAATAATGGGCAGACTGGGGATCAAAGGAGACATATATCTCCTCTCTTGTTTAATAAATTGACTAAGTGGTTAAAGAAGTTTTAACAAAATATGACTTGAAAAGTTGTTCTGTCATCTGTCAACCAGATTTCAAAATAGCTAATATTGAATTAATAAAGTACCTATCCAGGTGGAAGTATGCAGGAAGCTATTGGCAACCTGCACTGTTTTATACTACTATGACAAAGAATAGCCAAGGAAGTTTGCAGGGGTAGGAAAGAATGGTAACCAATTAAAAATTGATACATTTAACTCTAAGAAAAAGTATAACCCACAAAGAAAAGAAGTTGTGAGATGGAATATGGTGGGCAGATGCTAATACTGTAAAATTACGGTTATTTTAATTTTGAACCAATGTTTTATCTTTTTTTATTAAAATAGTGACTTTAATCTATGTACCCATTCAGATTTAAATTTTTGTTGCTGGAATATGTATTCCAGCACTGGTATTTAACTGCAGGTGACGCTACTGAGTCATTTCTTCATTAGGGATTTATGGTCCAATCATTTCTAAATGTTTTAATGTCTCCTTTATAGGCGATATGGAAACATAATGAATTAAAATAAAAGGAGGCATTTAGAGCTATTTTATAAAAAGGAAACAAAACTGTTTTAGCTCAGCCATCTATTGCAGAAACAGATGCCATGTCATAAACTCCTTTTGTTTTGGAGAGTTTTACAGGGATGACATCTGTTTGACAAGAGAATTTTGGTACTACAGTGGTGTCAAAATCAGTTCTTTCAGAAACATTGTAGAATCAGTTATGCTTTCTGGGGTATAATTTAATGAAACATTATGGTAAAACATTTCACTCTGCAGTTGTTTCTAACTTTAATTCTTAGGAAATCTAAAAAGGAAAGTCACCCCAATATGTTTTATTTCCCATAAACACTATGTACCACACTTGAGACATTTAAAGTATATCAATTTAAGTGAGCGGATGCAAGGAAGTACAGCTTATTACACTTTATCCCTAATTCTCCGGATGTGGCATCCGCCTTTTCATGGAACTCTAATTAAATCTTTTGATTCTAATATTCCTATTACCAGAAACTTGGCTGACTGGTACCTAAGTAGTACATAACGTTTGTGTGTGTTTTTAAATAATGCAGATGAAATCTGGCAGTATACTTAGAGAAGAATAAGATCACAGCAGGAAGCCTCAGTTAAAGTTTGAGGTGGGGGCCTACCATCTGCAAAAGTTATGTTTGCTTTAGGTCAATTGGTGCTGGGAGAGGGAGAGGCTTCTTTCTATGCTGCAGTTTCTCTGGCTTGCTGATGTCACCTTCTGAGGGTCTATGCTATAGCTTGGCTTTTACTGGAGAGCATAAATTTTAATTGAAATATCTACCTGCACAGTTTAAGTTGAGTCCTTACTAATCTAGCCCTACTTACCCAGGATCTAGCAATAATTTACTGCATTTAGTGCATGAAATTTTCTTAGGAGCAAAGGTAACAATCACTCACATCCACAGTATAAAAAGAGAGGATAATATATGCTTTAGTCCTGAAAATAACCTATGTGACAAGTACGGGTATTTTTTACTGCATATACTAGTCATTGCAGCCTGTATTTAAAAATGCACAGATACCTTCCTGAACACATTTTCCATCAGTTGTATCAGTGGAAATTCTTGGCTCATTAGAAGCTGCTATTGACAAGGTGTCTGGAAGGCTGTGCTGTTCTCTCTCATGATTCCTCAGCTGACTCTAAAAAGTTGAGAGAAATTAATATGTAAGTTTTCAATAAAAATACACATCCAATTACTAGGAGGCTGTGGAAGAAGCAGCTACTTGCTTTCATGGCCTCCTACTGAGAACATATTACCAATATTTTTAAATAAAATCTGCTAAATGACCATTTGATTGACACATTTCACAATTTATAGAAAGAAATTCATCAGAAGGGTCACAATCTCATCACAAAGGCAGCTCCTCTTTTTATACTCTCTGAAAAAAGGAAGTTACCACTTCTTAAGAGGTGTTTATACATAACATATACACATACTGGTAGGCCCAGAGCTGGCAGGAGCAGAGTGCTCAGGATAATGCAACACTTCTACAAAAATTAATTCAGTCAGTAACCACTAAACTTTATGCTAATTTCTGTCTTTAAACATCAAGCAGATGCATGAGAGGACCTAATTAGAACTCCTCCTCCAATGATATCCTCTTCTATTTCTACTCTACAAATCAAGAGTACGGCAGCAGCAAAAAAAAAAAAAACCTTCCAGAACTTGCCTTTATAGTCTACTTGGATATTCTCCTTGGAATTTCATAAGGGTAATTCAAGCAGCTGGATCTCTCAACATTTTTATTCTTGAATACCTTTCTTTTAACCACCAACTCTGGGTGATCTGACAGGAAAAGTCTACCTTCAGTTAGCCAATTAAGATATATTTTAAATTTTTACCAAATTTTCAGAGATTGAAGAAGTTCTAAACCAATGATTGATTCAATGGATGCACGTTTTCTTTACAAAAGAATGAGGAGCATTTCATACTAGCTGTTTCATTTAAGGTCAACAATAAGATGAAAATCAGGCAGCATAAATAACCCTTGAAAATTCCTTAAACTGCCCATTAAACATAGAGTATGTGACTTTATTTCTACCAGACTCTCTTTTAGTAAGTCTAATACAGCCCATTTTCCCTTTTGCAATGATATAAATCATTGTTCATTGTATAGCAGCTAATACGACTGACTTGCATTTGGGGGCCATGTAAAATGAGAAATACACATTTTTCTGGGGTTAAGTAAGTCAAATGTGTACATGACGTCAATCCACTGTATATACATTCCCTTGCAAATGAAAATCAACACTTTAAAAAGATATGCACATTAAAACACTGAAGTAGTAAATATAAAGACTATTAAGGAGGCAGTAAAATGGGGAACGAATTCTGGAGTGGAAACTATGAAGGCCTGGATTTCAGTCCCAACTTTAATACTATTTAGCTGGGATCCCTGGGGAAAATTATTAAACTTTTCTAGAACTCATTTTCCTTTTCTATAAGATGAGGTGGCTGGACTAAATTAAGAAAGTTCCTTCCTCACTCTAAAATTCTAAAATTCTCTGAAAGATTTCACTAACCAAGGCTTACCTTATAATGAAAGGATTCTTCACATTGTTTACATTGGTATATTCTTGTTTTACAGTGGTTGATCATGTGGCTCTCCAAATCTTTGCTGTTGTCAGCTATGTGCTCACAAATAGGACACTGATATGGCTGTCTCTGTCGATGAACTCGTAGATGCTGCTTGATGTAACCCTTGTTACCACTTGTATAGTGACATAGGCGACAACGGTAAGGCCGTTCAGCATTAGGGATATATTCTACCACATTGGTTCCCAACAAACTTGTATCACTGTTGGGTTGGCACTGGGCATTGTCCTGCAACTCTTTCAAAATGTCATCATCTGAAGCATTTTGATCTGTCCTTTCTCTCAATTTTTCAATTACAGTAAGTAGGGACATGCTGATGCCTGTCTTAACTTGTCCATCTGACAATTCCTGTCTACCCTCTGGAAGTGCTACCAAGGTAGAGTTGCTTTGGTTAAAACTAGTTAAGCCATCTGAAGAGTTTTTAAGCGGTGACATCATTTTTGAATATGCTGCCAATGGATTATCTACTTGCTTTTGTCCAGTATCTGGATCTAAGAGGTTTATATCCCCATAATGTCCAAGATTGGCTCTTGTTAGTTCTACAGCTCGTATAGGCATTGTGACAAGGGCTTCTGCAGCTAATGAATGTAGTCTAAGGGACTCAGAATTTGTCCTTCTTCGGCCAGGTGGGGCATTTTCATCAGTAGCTAAGCCTTTACTTATTAACTCACTGTCTTTCTTTTCTGGATTGCTCCAGCCTATGATCAACCCCCCAATGTCAACAGTACATTTGTCAGCATGATAAATGTCATCAGTTTCTCCACAGCCAGTCTGGGTTTCTGTTGGGTTCAAGTTTTTCCCTTCTTCAATTTCAGTATTCATGAGGAAATGTTTCTGTGAAAGTGTTTCTTCTGCACTTGGTAAACGCTCCACTATCACATTAACATGACCTTTTTTATTTGGGCTACTGCTGATGATTTTCTGTGCCGATGAAAGTAGGCTATCAGCAATCAGATTCTCCTCTGAATCAGAGATCACCTCTAGCATTTCTTCCTCATTAGGGTCAAGGGTAACTGACTGACTTAGGTCTATGCCCCCTTCTGCACTATGTTCTAAAGGAGATGAAGATGACGACAACGGTTCTGAGCTGCAAATTTGCACTTGTACTGATGGTCCATTGTGGATACTCAGTTCACTGTCTCCAATAGCAATGACTACTGCATCAACCCCACCTGGTGCAGCAGATACTGAAGAATCCAGCAAGCCGAGAGGCTCATTTTCATTTTCAAAGATTGGATAGGAGCAGTCAACTTCCCCTGCATGTTTCCAAGCATGTGTTTTCAACATTCTCTGCTGGCCACAAGTATAACTACAAAACAAGCATCGATACATGCCATATTGTTCATATGCATACCATTTCCTCCTACCCATTTCAGTCACGGATGAAGTTTGTACAGTATGAGTTTGCGAACTATCCACGTTTATTGGGATGTCAGGAATGGTTTCATTATTTCTTTCAGTGGTTCTTGGACATGAGGAGTTGGAGGGGCTTATGCACTGTTGGGCTTTGGACTGGATGTGACTATTGGCTTCATTTTCATGGTCATTTACCACGTGAGCTTCAAGCTCCTCTTGGCTTTTGGATGTAATATGGCACTCTGAGCACATTAATATCACTTCATTCTGCTGACCATGCTGCTTGATATGGTCTTTTAACACAGAAAAAGAGGATGACAGAAACTTACAAAGGCTACACTGGTAAGACATTGCCTTCCCATCATTCTGGGCAAGAGAGTCAGGTGTGAAATTTGCTTGAGACATCTCAGCCTTTCTAATGTCAGCAGCAGGTGACTGGGTTACTTTTGCTGGAATTTCACAAAGTTCTTGGGTTTCAAGACAGTGTGCTGTAGTATTTGAACGTGAGCGTTTTTTCCCAATCAGAAGACATTTTTGTGACTTTTCATGCTCCACTATCTTGCTTAACTTCTGTATAACATGAATTAATGGATCTGCTTTAGCTTTTCTTTGCTCATCGATTTCTAATGAAGGAGTGATGATACCTTCAGCCGTCAATATAGTTTCTTGTTCCCCTGTATCTGGCACCAACATGGCAATACTGCTGCTGTCTTCCATATCTAGAAGGATAACATACAAGAGTAAGAAATACCGGGTACAGGATAATTACAGGTATGTAATTCAGGAGATACATGTCAATTTTGGTGTCTAAGGTAATCTAAATATTTTCTAAGGTGGGAGTTCCACATCAATGTAACTAGCTGTCCCCAACACAGAGTTAAAATGCTTAGAATTCCACTTTGGAATGTAACCTCCCACCAAATTTGATGATGAAGATCTTGCCATCCTTTACATATTTCTCTGGAAATAACTTTAATAACCTTTATTTCCTTTTTTCTTCATCATATTTGCCTTCGACATCAAGTTGGACCCAATCAGTTCTCTGTCCCTTTATGTACAATGCCAAAAACAAAAATAACACAGCCATTCTCAGAACCTGTGGAACCACCTCGAGTTACTGTGAAATGTCACTCTTTTAAGTCATATGTTTCCTGAAAAACTATTTCTTAAATCAAAATGTAGCTATAGACTTTTTTACTAAAATCATAATTTTTTCCCCTCCTTAATCTTTGAAATTATAAAAAAAAGCATCATGTAATAAAAGACACAGTGAATTTTGAGAAGTACTATGCAAATGAAACTAAATAAAAGCAATAACCCAGTTCCTTCTTTTACTTCCTTTGATTTATCATCCTGAAGATAAACCACAAACTATGCTGTGGTTTTTTTTCTAGAGGTTATATTAGTGGCCAACTATTACTCATACCCACATGCATGTTCTTTTTCCTGAAAGGGAAAGGGCCATCAGAGAAGGAAAAAGTTGATATCCCAGTTGTGCTTCAGGTCCAGAAATGAACAGAGTCCTTCAAAGGGCTTATCTGTAGGTCTTAATAATGCACTATGACCTCGGAAGCCTCTAAACATAAAATGCTCATAAATTTTTCTGCCTAAGACTCAAATACTCTATATTTCCTGGCAGTACTCTCATTTCAAACATTTCCTTTGGCTTAAAGTGAGACTAATTTGTTGACTTGGATCACATTTTTAAGTTTAGGCTTTTTTCCAGCAACAAGTTTTGTTTTTCCACATTTAGGTGCATTCTGGAATCTTACTCACAACATACAACAAATGCCAGCAAAATTTTTAGTGGCACTAGCTATAGACCAAAGACCATGCTATTCTTAAACTTTAGTACAGACTTTGAGTTCTTATTTTAGTTAGTGAATCATGGCTCTTCTTCCCCACATGGCTGAATCAACATATAAAGGTCTTTCAGCCCCTTGCCAGAATCATACCTAACCCATCCTTCTAGACCTCTAACCAGCTTCAGTACTAGTTTGCCCATATCCACTTTGGCAGCAATTGCAGCTTTCCCTCTTATTTTCTGTTCTTTCTGGCATACCAGTTTTCTATATCTAGGTCCACATCAGGCAAAAATGCAAACATTTTACTCTTGGCTTCTTTAGTATTCCTTCTTCCCTCCTTGCTAATACTCTGCCCTATGAAATCAGCTTTCTTCTTTTCAGGGATTGCTTCTAATCTGCCTCACAGCAGGGAGTGCATTTCACCAAGGGTACAACACTGACAGTGATCCCCTTCCCAAAGGCCATGGGCCTTCAGCTACTCTCTCCCCAAACCAACTCTCAAAAGAATAAGTTTCTTTTCATCTTTCTCAGGTAGAAAAAACAAGTCTTTTTAGATTTCTACTCAACCTTAAGTCACTGAAGAGGAGACCAATGGGGGAACAATAGTTTCTTTGGAAAAACCCTTTGCCACTTCTTAAATCACTTTACTGCCTTAGAAATGCACATTTTTAGGCCAAGGGGAATTTTGGCTCTTCATGTGACCACTGATTTATTTTTTGGACCATTAACTTAAGGCTATATTTTTTTCAGTTCAATGATTTCATGCAGTTACACAATATGTTTAATAATAGGAATCCCCAAACATTCAGTATCTTGGACAAGATATGGCTCACCACTGTAGACCAAAGGTCTCCTCCCTTGAAATGTAACATCCACAGAGGCTAATTGATAATCGGAAGTTAAAAATGAATGTTTGCTCAATAGACTTGGCACACCTACAGTTACAAAGGTGACTCAGTTACCGTACTTCTACTTAATGACATAATAGGAAGGATACAGAGCAATGCAAATTGTTCCCCATGGATATTTCAGTGGATCCTTGGGAAGAAAAAAAAAAAAGGAAAATAAAGAGAAGGAGGAGTTCATCTAATCTCAAGTCTAAAAGAATCTGACAAAACACTTAAAGCTATGTTTGCTCAGGCATTAGGAGCTAATGGAAATTTGCAGCAGATGCTCCAATTTTCCCTGAACATTTATGTAAGTATCTCATTTTAGATGCTGCATACATTTGGGGAAAAGTACAGTAATGGCAGCTATAAAACAGATATGACAACATAAAATACATCAGGAAACACCTGAGAAACCAGTTTGGGTCCACATGCAAAATTAATACACAAGTCAAAACTCATCAAGACAAAAGTTGTTTAAAAAAAAAAAAAAGGCAAAACAGCTCATAATAAAGTATACACAGAAGGGACATTACCTTAAAGCTGACCCTCCAAATTTTGACAAAAATTTTACTTAGACTACTCATGCAATCACATCTATATCTACGCATCTATATATACAACACATCAAACAAAGTAAAGTTTATTGGAATAAGAGAGATGAAAATAAGGAGTATATGTACAATCCCAGTGAAAACAATGACTATAATATGGATCACTTGAATACTATCCGTGAACTCTAAGAGATGGACTAAACACAACCTAAAAAAATTACCTGGATAGTGGAGAGGTGGGGAAGGTGGAGACAAAATAAAAATGACAACATCTGTGAGTGAAGTTGTGTGATGAGTGTCCAGAAGTTCAATATATTATTCTTTCCACTTGGGTGAATGTCTACATTTTTCATAATATAAAGTTATAAAAAAAAAAAAAAAAAAGTTATGTGTAAAGCCCAACACAAAGTAGCAGGAAAAATGGAAACATTTGAAATTCATAGTACTCACAGTTTTAAACCAAACTGAGTGCATAAGACACTGAAAAGCTAAAAAGAATTAAGTAACAGCTTTTGAATGAAGTAATAATACACAGAGTAAAACTGACAGAGGGCAACAGTTAATAGCCAAATCCTAAGAGAGACAGAAGAGCTCCCCTGGGCTAGGAAGGTATGCAAAAGGCTTTTTGAAGAGGTAAGACGTACACTGGATCCCAAAGGATGGACACTGTGCAAGACATCATCCATTTGCCCTGTATCCCCCTCTCCAATCTGCATTCCGCCCAGGAGAGATTAAATCATTAGTCTTCCCTGACCTCTAGTTTCTGGTTGAATTCTGCCAATGGAGAGTCTTACAGATCTAAGGGATACAGGAGAATGAGAACAGGATATTCACTGTCCTAGATCCCTGCCTCTAAGTTGCCCTGACGGACTGTGTTCCTCAAAATAGCCACTTCTCTCCAGATAGGCTGCTCTTAAGATTCTGCTTCTGGTTCTGGGGCCTCTCCCTTCTCCTGATGCAGCTAGGCTCCCAATAACTGTTCTATCCCTGTGCTCTGCCTACATAATTCCAACACTTTTATTAATAGTATCTTTGTAAATATACCCTTCTTGCATTAATCTAATTTGAATTTGCCATTTTCTTCCTTGGAATACTTCTGATACAAGGATAAGATTGACAAGAAAGGCAGCCATAACATTATTATATTTTTAGAAGTGAGAATAAGCATGCTATCTAAGGGTTAGCAAAAAGATCAAAATGGCTGGATAGGAAGGTTCACTCTGAGGACAGAATACTAGAGGCATAAGCAAAACCCATTGCTTGTTTGAAATCATTAGAAATGATAATAGATCAAATATATCAAACTGTTACAAATAAACAAAAATTGCATCCCACACCAGAAAAGTTCTATAACCTTTTCCACAGAATCTCTTAAATCTTTCTTTGACAATAGTAATTCTCAGGCAGAAGCTTAGAATTAATGTCTTACCCAAGAAAAGTTAAGAGCTAAATTATTTCCTTATAATTTGCTGTTTGGTTTATTTGTGTTTCTAATTAGTTCCTTTTAGTTATAGTAGTACAGTTATCACAAGTCAAATCAAGTTGAACAATGTGGGCCTGGAGAAAAGGCTGTAATTTTCTGTGTATATATAAAAACAGTACAATATGATATAAAGAGTCTTCTCTTTCACACTCAGAATTTGTCTTTTCCAACTAGAAAAAACATTGTGCAACAGAAATAAAAGCCAATTCCCCATTTTTTTCAGTCTCATAATTTAAAAATATAAAACATTTGTTTTGCTCCAGACAAAAGGAAGTAGGGGACAAAAGCTCATGTGTCCCTTCTCTATAGTGCCCTTAGTTAGCTGTGTGACTTTAGGCAAGTCACTATCTCTGTGGGTTTTAGATTATTCAGATATAAAAAAGAGGGTGGAACTGGAGAGACTTTACGGTCCCTGAACTATAAACTGCTTATAAATAGTTACTGGGAAACTGCTTAAACTTTATAGGTTTACCTTACTAATGTCAGCTATAATTTATATGACTTAAAATCTCCTCACACAATGTAATTATTAATTGCCACTTTGAAAAAAAAACTGAGTATAAATATCACAAGTACATGAATTTCATAGTCTAGAATTCTTAGCTGGCAGCTAGCCTGAGAGAATATTCTAATTTGGCAGCTGCAATTAAGACATAAGGTCTAACTAATATTAACCAACATTCAGATTTACTATGATTTGTTGAGTACCTATAATGTGCCAAGCATAGTGCTGGAGACTATAAAAATGATTAAGAGGAAATTCTTGTCCTTGAGGTACAAGTCCAGGGAGTAGTGCCTATGTAGATTTTTCTGTGATGCTCATGTATTTCCTGGTAATACTAGCCTTTTTTTTTTTTTTGCAGATGAAGAACTTCAAAGATGTAAAGTAATACATCTGAGGCTCACAGATATAAAGTAACGAATGGTTTAAGAACTGTAAGAACTGGAATACAGCTGAGTATGGCAGTACATGCCTATAATTCCAACAGCAAGGGAGGCTGAGGCAGGAGGATTGTAAGTTCAAAGTCAGTCTTAGCAACTTAACGAGACCCTGTCTCAAAATAAAAAGCATATGTATTTTAAAAAAGAGCTGAGGATGTGGCTCAGTGGTTAAATACATCTGGGTTCAATCCCTGGTACCACTCCTTCTCCCCCCCAAAAAAAGAGAAAGAAGAAGAAAGAAAGATCTGGAATCCAGGCAGGACAATCTTATGCTTTCCCTAATACAAGTTTCCTCTCAACTTTCAGTGAGAACATAAATGCATAAAGTTATTCATACTGAAGAGTAACAGCCTCTCACAGCTAGGCTGCAAACATGTTAATGTATTTGATCCTCATAACTCTTTGGGACAGGCTAGGTGGTGTTATACAATTTTATAAATATGGAAACTCAGTGAGGTTTAAGTGACTTACCCAAGGTTACATGGTTGTTAAGTGGCAGAGCCAGTGTCTTTCAAATCAATTTCTGAAATTAATACAGTCCCTTGGATCAATCTTCAAAATCCAGCTGTGGCCAAGAATGAAAGTATACAGTATCAAACATTTCTCTTTTTTGGTGAAACAAAGTAATGATTAATTTGGGCAGTGAAAAATTTTCCAATACTCCATGTCAAAAAAGAAATTTAGAATAATATTCATGCAATCTGATTATGTGATGCAAGTTTACATAATTCAACAAGTAGACTTGAGGATTTTTCAGAAGTTAGAAAAAAAATAGCTCTGGAAACTTCTCCCAATTAATTGTATATTTCCTTTTACCTCAGACTGTATGTAACTGACTCAACACACTGCTGGTCTTACTGACATCAATATGGAATAATAAGTTTCATATTGCTATTTTAACCTTAACCAAAAATACAATCTAAAGGATGAGTACGCAAATTTTACAAGCACAGCGGGCAGAATGGCAGCATGAAAAGATATGACACAACGGCTTGACCTATATAGGTCTTTCTAATGTCATTTCCTGCCCTGGTCCTACATTTCTTTGCTATTGTTTCTTATGCTAGCTAGTATGAACCTAAGAGTCAAAGAATGATTATGGGTTTCATCTAGAAAGCGACTAATTTATTGATTATACTTAAATAAAATAGTTCACTGCTGGGGGAGAAAACATGTTTTCAGGCCTCCTCTGAAGTTAATTTTTAACGAGTTACTGTGATAAAAAAATGAAGGGCCAGACTTTCTCCTTTAATCAATGACACAACCCATTCACTGAGTCAGAGTGGAGTACTTAAGAAAGTACAAACTCAAGGAGGTGATAAATCTGGTAATTGCCTGATAAGAGCATTGTAGATGAATAGCGAATTTACAGCCCACAGCAGGAACTAAAAAGACAGCCTTCGGGTTGGGAGGGTAGACTCTGCCCAATTAATCGTCCAGGCCTTCCACACAAACCATGCACTCCGAATGCCCCCAGGTCTTAAAAGGTGGACACTTTCCCCAATGATCTGGAGAGATCCTTCCATTGGGATGATAAGTGCCAAAGGCCAGAACTGCTGTTTCTGTACTGGGCTGTTATTACACCATGCAGTGCCCAAAGGGCTGAGGCGATTGGGGTTGAGAAAAGTAATCAAGAGATGCGGCAAGAACAGTAGTTAGCTCCATCCTGGCTAGCTTAAGCGATATTACATTTGCACAGGGAAGGAAGCAACGCCTCACGACAGGCCTGCCTGGGGGCGCCAAGCTGGAGACCGTATGCGGGCAGCGGCAGGTTCCCCCACCCCCAGCTGCAGGGCAAGGCCGGGGTCTCCGCAGGCCTTCCTGTGGACGGCACAGAGGGCAGAAAGGGGACATGGAATTTGGGCCATGGGGCAAGCACCGGGAGGGTGTCAGCCGGCTGAGGAGGAAGCGGACGCCGGTAGAGGCCTGAGGGGAGGATGCACATGGCCGGCGGCGGCGCTAACAGCGAGCGGAGGGGCGGCCCCGGGGCGCCGTACCTGCGGTCGGGCGGCGGCTGCTGCTTCCGCGAGCCTCTTTTGGCCGGCCAGGGCCCTGCCGTGCCCTTGCCCGCGTCCTCGCCCACCTCTATCCCGGCTCTTTTCCCTCTTTTCCCCTACTTTCCCCCTCCTCATCCAGAGCTCCAAGATGGCGGCGCTGAGGCCAGATCACGTGAGCCCCGGGCAGGTCAGGTGACCCGAGTGGCGGGCGAAGGGGCGGGGCAACGGCCAGGCCCCGCCCTCTGCCGCCCAGGGCCGCGGGGGCCAACCAGGTTATCCGGGCGCAGAGAGGGTATCGCCTGGTTCGCTGCGGCCTCTGAAACGGCGGCGGGTTCTGCCGGCGTGGTCCGGTTCTCAGGTCCCCTGCCCTGCTCTATCAGAAGCTCTCTAGGTCTAGAAGTCGACGCATGTTCTCTTCGGAGCCTTCCCACGTGGCCTAGATCTACTGTGGGCTAACTTTATCACCCCACCCTCCCCTTAATTCGCATTCAACCATGGGCATTGACTTTCTTTTCACCCCTGTGACCGTGGATTTGTGTTGTTTCTTCTGGGTGGGCTATACTTCTTGGCTAAAATATAGAGGTCCTGGCTAGGACTGTGACTTTAATTCAGGTGTGCCTGCTGAGGGACAATCCTGGGGAAATCTATTTGCTTCAGAGAATGTTCCAGGGTTGTAGGATCGCAATTGATAAACTCTGACCTAGTAACACAACCTTAGCTCTCTGAGGGCATGATACCATTTGTCATTTAGATCTGTTTCAAGAAAAACCATGGTGTAAACAGCGTTGTTGGGGTCCCCCTGCTCACATGATAACAACTTCAAGGGTACTAGGCAGTTTTGGTGGATTAGGAGTTATGCAGGCTGAATTCTTGGGTCTAGAGTCAGCAGATGGGCCACAGACACAGGGGGCGAAGTAAAAAAAAGATTCTGCTCACAGCAATGGACTGGACTTGTTTGGTGAGATGTCTTTTGGATACTTCCTGATATATTTAGAGGCCTTTATGAGCAGGATGGGCTGTCAAGTGAGTACATAGGGAGAAGACCCCAAATACACAAAATAATAAAATTTATAGTCATTGTTTACATAGGTCAATAATTTAACTTACTGAATCTCAGGATACAAATACACCTGAATTTGGGTGTTGGGAAACCCACAAATGAAAGAAAGTAAATATGTCTTTGTCTGAAGTTCCAGGGATCATTTCTGGTATTTACTGGCTATTTTCCTTTGTTTCTCTTCCAGCACATGCTGAGATGAACTTGCTGTTGCTCTTCTGTTTTGAAGGTGTGACCTATGTCTGGTATGGGCTAATGAACTGTATGTGGAAGTGAGGGGCATCACCCCTATACTGGAGCTTTTAATTATCCGTGTACTCCTTTCTGTCTGGTTTGGAAATTGACAATGTCACTCTGTCAGACTGTATCTTAGAGTGATGGTGATGAGCTGAACTCATAGCTGATCAATGATAAGAACCTTGGGTAAGCAAGTCACTGAGGTTTTGGAGCTATTTGTTACAGCAGCATGGTACAGCTATTGCTGGCATTCTCCACTCCAGGGAAGCAACTGGAAAAGGCAGAGTGTTACAGGCAGAAAGGAATGTTAACAAAAGAATTAGGAGCAAGGTATAAGAAGCAGAATCTGATAGAAAAACCTAGGCAATTTTTAAAAGCCTCAGTATTTTTTTTTTCCTGCAAAAGAACTACTCTCCAAAAAAAAAAAAAAAAATCACAGTAAACAATTTTAAGTCAGAGGAATGAAGAGACATTCAGGTGTAGTTCAATTGAACTTGTGGATGTCTCATCTAAACTCTTCTCAGCACCTTCCACCTGCCACAGAACATTATTTATCATGATTTAATTAACCAATTATAGTAAGATTTAATGTTACAGATAGGAAACTTGCTTACTCGGTTATCTTGTACCTATTCAGTGGAATCTGATTCTGTTTCCAGATGAGAGATGACCCAGATAACTGAATCCCTGTCTCCACACACCTCATTATTCTACTTTGGGGCCATTAATTAGTTGATAAGGTTAAAGGTTTCACTTCTTCTACAAGTATCATGGGTCTGTATCTCCTAAAGTAGCCAGACAGTCTGATAATACATATTGCTTTACAACTTAAACCAGAGCTCTGTTTAAATTTTGGGAACACAAAGGATAGCACAGTAAGTAAGTTGCAAGGTGGTAACTGGCCATAAACTGAATGGGTCACTAAACCAGTTGAAATTTAAGGGAGAGCTACCTGTTTCCAGCCCTCATACTTATGAAGGACACCTTGTCTTCAGTGTAAGAAGATTAGATGAGATTTCTTTGAAGAGATTAATCATGTAAGTCTTTGGCATAGCACAGAAAATTGGATGAGACATGTAGCCTGTATTTCTTTTAGCAGTAATTTTTATCATGACCTTTAAAAAATATACTGCCTTTAAAAAAAAAAAGGAAAGATGGAGGAAGGGTTAGAGGAGACAGGTAGGCTGCTAAAAGAGAAAAGGACATAGTAGTGTGAGCTGCAAAAATAAACTCAAAAATTATTCCAGACTTTGCTATTTAGCTCCCATGGGGACTGTGAGCAGGTGGATTCCATCTTTCTGATGTTTTCACCTTGCTTGTAAAACAAGAAATACCATTTATCCTTTTTTTTTTAAAGCATCAACTATCTTATATATAGAAGTACAGAGTTTAATTATAGGAGTTTTCTGGGTTCAAAATGGGACTTCGTTATTAAAAATAATAGCAAGACCTGATTTTATTAATGAATGAAAAGATTGCTTGATATAAGTCAGAAGGAATGTAAGATTAAAAGACATGATATATTATTATATATACAGCTGTCAGCAATAAATTAACATTAACTCTGGATTCTGTACACTTTGCATCCTGAATATACACCTAGAAATACTTCATAATTATAGTTCAGGTCTCAAGAATCATCATAAATTATCCATCTGTCATTCATTCCCTGCTAAAAGCCACAGACCTACGTTATTCTAGCAGCATATTGACATCTAAAATCCCTAGTGCTACGAGGCACACATACAAATTTATTTATTATTGAAGGCCCGGATAAACCAGAAGAATACACAGCAACACAGCAACCATCTATGACAAGGAATAAGAGGAGAAAGAGCAGAAAACTCGATTGTGAGAAGTGGGGTTTGCTCTAACAGATATCAGTCTTGTGTAAATTTCAGCCCTGTTGTTTTGGGTCTGAGATACTAACTGGTTTGGAAAAGGCCCACAAAGGAGCTTGGATAGCCCTGCAATCAAGGTCACGATAGAATTCAGTCTGAAATTCTCCTAGCCTTGGGGCTCTGCCTTATGCTCAGGACCTGGGCATGAGGACAAGAATCAATGGTGGTGACATCTAGTGGCATATCTGGAATGTGCAGTCAAACCGCAAAGCACTCCAGTGGGAAGTGGGACATTTGCCTTGTCCAGCTAACCCAGGCTTGACCCCGAGGTCCCTGAATCAGTCTGAGTTTGGTTTCTGGCAGAGATTCCCTGAATGCATGTTGATTTATGGTTGAGATCCAGGAAATGCAGCAGCAGGCTGGGAGTGGAGGTGGAGAAGGGCTGCTTTTGGGGACGACAGGAGGCTCCTTTCAGTCTAGTCTGCATATGCCACAGACTTGTGCTGCAGCAAGCGTGGCTCAGCGGAGCTGCGCGATGGAGCAGGGAGCTTGCCTCCGCCAGACTGTCTCTCTGCTTCAACGCAGACTGGTTATTGGAACGCTCAGGCAATTTTCAGTCGTCTTTGTCAATAAAACCAGTCTCTTCTCTGCAAGGGGAATGAAAATGAGATTCGGAGGCCTCCAAAGGGCTCTTTTCTTTTGCCACTTTATCTGCCCAGGATCCAGGTAGTAGCTCAGCTGAGATGGGTGGTAGCTATTTGCTATGCCCCAAACCCTGTTGACAGGTAATACCCCCTGCTTCTGAAAAAGACAATCTGATTGTAATAGGATACTGTTAAATTCTCCCCAGAGAAGAAGCAGTTTCCTTAAAGCAGTGACCTTTATTGATGAGAAGTTCCAAGGAAGAAAATGAAAAGAAGAAGAAGATGATGAAGAAAGACACTAAGAGCAGAAGTAACTGCTAATCAAACCCAGAGAGCCTACCTAAAGGGTAACCACGTGGCTTAAAAATATGTCATTTGTTATTTTGACATCTTGTCTTTAGGTGATAGACTAGGAGGAGCCACTCAGTGGGACTAGAGTACCACTTCTTGCTTTTAAAGGTATCAGGAAATGGATAGATAACAAGAGATAGCAAATAGTCTTGGAAGGTAGAGGACCTTCTATGGTCTTCCAGCTTTGAGTTTCTCAGATACCATGGGAGACCAAGCACAGGGAACATTGTATAGTTCTTGACCTCTTGGAATTTTTTTTTTTTTTTTTACTGATAAAGAAACATGAATGAGAAAGAGAAAAAGAAGGTGAGATGCATGTAGTACCTACAGAAAGTCCTCGCTGCAATATTCATGCCCTTTGGGACCTCATTATAAGCTCCATCAAGCTATAAGGCCAGAGGACCCTGCTGGAAGTGGCATTTCAGTGTCAGGTATGAGTAGGGCTGTAGGGTGCAAGGAAGTTTATGGACAGGTGACTAGGCTCCTGTGTCATCTACCCCACTTGTACCCTTCTCTTTCATCTCACACCTTTGGGTCACATGCAGGGAAACACCTATGGTCAGCCAATGGTAGGAAGAAGCCCAAGAAAAGCTCAAGAATGGGTCAGCTTGGAAGAAAACGGACCAATAAGAATGAAGGTGTGAAGTGAGAGTAGACATAGGGCATCTATCTGGACAGTGGAGACCCTTCTGGAGGGCTTGGAGTGGGGAGCAGAGAGAGCTACAGCCAGAAGGGCATGTTGGAGCTGGGACTGGACCAGGCAGAGACAGGCAGTGAGCTCCGTGGAGGGCCCTGTGCTAGGGGCCCTACGTGCATTATTTCACATATCTTGGTGCACTTAGCTCTGCTGTCATTAATTACCAGTGCAATCACTGCATTAACATCTTCCCAGTAGGCCCAGGGA